CCCCCCCCCCCCCACAGAAAATTCCTAGTTTCACCCATGCACATACGCGGTAATTTCAAAACAGTTTTTAATTTAAGTATCCACTTTTATATTAAGTCTTCTTGATTTTTCCGACGCGAACAACGAACTCGACGCCGTCACCTTTCCAACAGACGAAAAAAAGTAACGGAAATTTGAAACAAATTTATTATTGGTGGCATCAATAAATTTGCGTACAGAATAAATAAATTTGTGCACAGAACAAATAAATTTGTGCCCGGTCCTAACTATTCCGAAATGCCCTCCATGCAAATTCTAGACTTGTTACGTAACAAATAAGGTTAGTGCAAGGGCACAATTTATTGGTTTGCAGACGCAAAAAAATTGGTGCCGTCCACAAATTTCACTTCAACTCAATACGATTGTTCAGGACACCAATATTTTTTTTTCAATGCACTCTCTTTGGTGCTGTTCCTTTTAGTTGAATTGCTCAACCACTGGAGAGTTGTTGCCTGGATAAGATCATTGGAAAAACCGATGTTCCGACTATGAATGTCGGAGGCTGGTGACGCGACGAGGGAGGCGGGCGTGAATCAACACATTTCGCAATTTCAGGAAAATATTCGACGGCTTGCGACAATCGCCCGAATCCCAACAGTTGAGTCAACAAAATAATTGCATGTAGTTCCGCACCTTCAATGACGCCTTGAAAAGCCTCCGGCTGACGTCGTGAATTGCTAATCACAACACCGGTGCGTGGAATTTATGTGCTCTTCTGTAGATAATTTGGACGTATTTCTACCTAACAGACCTACGTGGAGGTGAGAAATATGGGGTGTGCTCGTTAGTTCCCTGGCCCTTGAGTGAATGGGAATAATAAAGCGCCAAAGACGTCAGCGGCAATGATAGTGCGCACTCGAGCGAGGGGAAGATCGTCGTTGGGGCGCTTTAACTCGTGAGCCCTGTCCACAACGCTCTCTTGCCATGCCCGCGGCTTATGAGTTCCGCATTCAGTTGGCACATAGGTCTGTTCGATAGAATGTAAAATCCCGCTTTTCCAATTCTTCAAAAAGAATCACGCCCACTTTTACATTGCTTCTTATGCAGCTTTCTAGAGCACACCCCATATTTCTCACCTCCACATACGTCTGTTTGGTAGAAATACGTCCATTTGAGGGTATTCCGCGGACCAGGGATACGTGCGGTTGAAGTTTTAGAAGATGACCTGCGGCCGTATTCACATTAGTCCATTGAACAGCCCCCCTCCATAGGGCGGCCATATGTATTAGGATTAATATTGTGATTGAGGGTAGTTTCTGAGTACGCCTGTAACGTAACATCATAAAGGGCACTTTTTGATAGCTTGAGCAAAATTAAACATTTTCAATGGACCACTAGACAAGGTACGAATTTCAGCATTCTGATACATGTTTCCTCACCAAAATTTTACATGAAACACGACGCGCACAACGAAAATTACCTAAATCAATACTTTACGAGGATATTTAATTATTCTTAATCCGTGAATATACATCATCCGCTCATGAAAACTCAATGCTTTTCGTGATTCACACCGCGCGCTAAAGATTATCATGACGGTCTCTACGATATAAAAATCTGGCAACCTCGATCTTGACGCTTTGGCTCAGCTATAGCAAATTGCTTGTAGTTTGAATAAAACATGGTGGGAAATGAACATTGCTCGATTGAGAAGCTTGCTGAAACTGTTGTAGTGCGCGATTTGACTTACGTAGAGCTTTGAGTTTCTTGTAGGTGCGCATTCCAAATTCCTCGTAACCAATGTGTAAAAAAAACGTTAATATCTTCGTTTAGAGTTGGTATCAGTAATTTTCGTTGTGCGAATCGTGTTTTACGTGAAATTCTGGTTAAGAAACATGTATCTGATTGCTTAAATTCGTACCTTGTCTAGTGGTCCATTCAAAAATGAGAACCGACACACTGGGAAAAAAACTCGCTTGGATCTAGAGTTCAGACTGTTAAAAACACTGACAAGAAAAAATACTCCTGATTCAATAAGACTTTATGCTTGAATCAAATGGAAATCCGCCTAAATCGAGAAGCTCGGCTCCCGATTTAAGGTAAAATCTGATTGAATCAAAGATATCTTTTCTTGTCAATATTATTTATTGAGAGTCTGGACTCTAGATGCAAGAGACTTTTTGTTCCAGTGCACTAATTAATTGACCTAGTGAGTTTGTGCGGTAAGTTTGCCATTAATTTCGAGTGATAGTGTGCCGTGCACCGGTGGTCGAATAGTTGCTTCGCGATCATGTAAACTGATCATAGATCATTTTGATTGTTATTTCTTGAATGCGTCCCAGCCACTGATGTGCCCGACCTGACACGACTGATAGCATCCACGAGGCCGTCAGAAAATTGTCCGTCCAACATTACGAATTGCTGTCGATCTCGTCATAAAATTACAGCAAAAAATCAATTTATAACTCTACTGAGACAATGTTCAGGCTGTGGTAAGGATCCACGTGATAGAAAAGATTCGCTGGAAACGTCGACATCGGTAAACGTAGAGAGTTCAGAAGATCGTTTCAAAAGAGAGTAAACTTCGAGAAGACCCTCGTGCACTAAGAAAACCCGTCCTGCACGACCAAATTTCTGAATGGCATTCAAAAATATAATATGCAAACCGAGCGATGAATAAAAATTAAGATTTTTAGCATGCTTACCTTCCTAATTCTAAGGCAGTTAAGTCTAGGAACGAAGCGCCCATGAAGTCATCTTGCAACCCCCAGTCGTAGTCGAAAACCTACAAAAATAGAAAATTCTCAATCATAATTTGAATTCACTGCTAAAAGAGTGAGAGAGAATTCCAATTTTCATTTTTCAATTTCAAAAAATGAACGCACGAACTAAACTTCAAATGAAAAACGCGCTTGAATCTTGCCGCCACTCCAATTATTGATGCTTGTTGCTTCATTAGTGATTTATGCTAAATGTTGGGTTTCTTAGTTTCACTTAACCTGCAAATTCTTTATTTATTTATTTAATTGTCACCTGCATGCTATAATGTAGTTAGTACCCGTAATTTTTAATTCTCATCAGCATGTCCTTAGATTATGCATGTACTAAATGTACTTGTACTTGCTTGTAGTCTGTGATCCTTATGTATACCACTGAAGATGGCCCTATGGGCTGAAATGCATTTGGGTAAATAAAAATGTAATTTATGCATCTACTTGACGTACCTTACTCTCTCCGAATCAACTAAACTTCGATTACTTAAAAATTATTTCTTAAATCTCTCTCTATGACTGCGTTATTGACATGCCTCTGATTGGTGTCAAAATGTTTTAGAGGAAGCTTGTTTTCCCGAGCGCGGAGGAAGTGAATGGCTGATGTTTATCGCTAACACAAAAATCGATGAAAGGTCGCATCCATAAATCATCTTAATTTTATCGGTTTATTTTATATTACGGATATTCGATGGAAAGCTCTTCTAAGTGCGTAAGAGGAAAATTAGGACGATTGAAATGAGCATATCGAAGGCTAACGAACAATAACTCCAAATCGACAATTTCGACAAAGGTGAGTCAGTGACTTCGTCGCACTCAACACAATGAAGTGCCCAAGCTGGGATGACGCTGTATTGTATTGTTTATTGTATAAAAAAAAGTACACATCTTACCTTATAATTACCAAAGTGAGGGATTCACTTTGTTCTGAAAAATTGTTAGTTTGCAGATCGGCGGTATTGTTCGTTCGCCATCGATATGCCGTCGATTTGCAAAATATGGCCTTGATTTCAGTTTATTAAAAAAAAAATTAAAAAATTGTCAGTGGAGAAAATTTAAAACCACATCCGAAACCTCCGTAGTTTTTCGTTGCGCGGACAAGAAAACTCGTTGCGTCGTCCAAACAACTTGCAAAAACGAATGTTCCCTCCTCGGAATGATAGCAGTTTATTAGTTGCGGCAACTAAAAAATTAGTTGTAACTGGGAAAGAAATTCGTTAACCGTTGCCGTACATGGCTCAGCGAGTTTTTCCTCCACACAAATAGAACCGTCAGAATACTTCTTTTTTCTCTTCTTCTCCTCTTCTTCTTTCACTTTTTCTTCTTCTTCTTCTTCAATAAATTCGGGGTGTCTTCAGTACTTCCAAACGTCATAACCTTTTATTTAACCAAGGTTAAGCTGACTTAGGGTGGGTAAGGCACGTCAAAACTTACTTTGATGTGGACAGGCGTGAAAACGTCCTCAACGGGCAGAGTGAAGCTTTCGTCCCATTGCGGGTTCAAATCCCGGTATATTGTTTTAGATTTGTACATGAGCCGACCGTTGACTTTGAATTTCACGTAGGGGTCACTAGTTCCTGAAATTTGAGAACAAATGTTCAAGTTATTGCAAGAATATCTCCACGTTATGGATATTACGGGACAAATATTCCTATAAATATATGGACTACATTTTGCAATTTGGAACTATAAATCCTAGCCCGGTTTAAAAACAACATATGCGCCGTTAGTTTCCCTATGCACATAAGTGTTTTTTCAGAAGAGCCAGAATTCATAGTTCCGAATTGCAAAATACAGTCCATATATCCCCAGAATTTCTATATGAGGACTTATATGTAACAATCGCGGTCGCTGACATCCGCCATTTTTAGGGGAAACGCTTATTTCGAATTCTGGAGCCCTCGAGAATGCCTGTGCAAAGTTTCAGACTTCTAGCGTTATTTTTCGGCGAGACATGAACTGAAAACCATGTTATTTGTAAAAACAGCGGATATGAGAATCCAATGTTCTCAGTGTTCTCCCCTGCTGGCATGGCAGGACACTGCGAGATTCTAGCGCACATGCGATCACTGCCCGCGCACCAGCCACGGGCTGCAGCTGACACGCAAATAATACGTATCTGGATCGTTTCGCCAGACTTGATGAGTTTTTAACTGATTCTATAATTTGTTCCTTATTTTTGTTGCGGAAGTTACATGCGGTTTAGTTTTTTGTTGAATTTGATTAAATGACTCAACGACATGCTTTTGGTTCATTTCAATCGTTTCACCGGAATTACCCTTCCTGAAGACTTTGTTTCATGTATAAAAAAGTGTTTTCAGTAAAAATAGCGGATTTCACATTTTTTTTCAAATCGCTGTTACCCCTTAAATTTTCCACTTACATAGATCGTGAAACGTGTGTTTTTTACAGGAAGAGTTGCTCTTCATGAACATTTTTACAAGAATCCTCTCGGTTCTACAGGCGGCAAAGTGCAAAGCTTCGAAAACTTCAAACGCGGTTTTCTCACAGTGTGAAAACTCGACATCCGCTATTGTTACATGTAAGTCCTCATATGTTCCTAAAATGTATTCCTGTAAATGTGTATTCCATGAATATGTAAATGGAGCATTCCTTGCAAATAGGGCAGGGGAATGCGAGCATGCAACGATCAAACGAGACGTATCGATAATGAGCCTCAATGTGCAGGAACATAGAAATCGCTTGGAATGTCAAATAGTGGAATTGATTCACGACGTTTTCATTGTTTTCTTCAATTTCTGCGGTGAGGAAAATTGTGAAAGCTCATTAGAAAATAGCTTTAGAGTGAAAAAAAACAGAATTTGTTATCGTGGAAAAGTATTTGATAATGTGGTAAAGTGTGCGTGCATGCGATCTGAAAAAACAGTGTGCTGGTCACATAGTAAGAATCCTTGACAATGATTCATTCATTACTCATATATTTACTTACAAACATTCTCAACTGCATTCTCATTGCATTTGATAGTTGAAGTTGGGTTTAACGCAATGAGGAAAGTTGAACTACATTTTGCAATTTGGAACTATAAATTCTAGCCCGGTTTAAAAACAACGTATGTGCCATTAGTTTCCCTTTGCACATAAGTGTTTTTCCAGATGAGCCAGAATTTATAGTTCCAAATAGGCCTGTTGCAAACTTTTGCTAGAGCAAAAATAAGAGTTGTTTCTTATAGATAATGCCTCAAAAATCACGATGAGCGCATCGGCAAAGTCTGAAATGCACTCATAACTTCACAGTCTGCGTAAGAAATTTGCGGTTTTTTGAGCTTCCCGCTTCAAAAACGATACTACGACACAGGTGAACATTTTGTAAGAGGAGTCGCTCCATCGTCGGCAATAATCATCATGGCCGACGCCAATCCGCCGAAACACGTTTGATGGGACGAGATATAAACACCTGAACTGGATTAGACCGGATAACAATCGGTGTGTTAACGTTCATATTTTCCACGCCCGAATTGATTGACCTTGAACTCTCCTCGAATCACGCACGGAACTGCGAGCAAGCGTCGGCCATGATGAATATTGGCGACGATGGAGCGACTCCTCTAACAAAATGTTCACCTGTGCCGTAGTATCGTTTTTGAAGCGAGACTTAAAAAAACGCAAATTTCTTACGCAGATTGTGAAGTTATGAGTGCATTTCAGTGTTTGCCGATGCGCTCATCGTGATTTTTGAGGCATTATCTACAAGAAACAACTCTTATTTTTGCTCTAGCAAAAGTTTGCAACAGGCCCATTGCAAAATGTAGTCCGGTTGATCCTCGACTAGGCCAAGTTTTAAGCACAGTATTGATTATTGATTGTGCTTTACCTAGGCGAGTTTTGTTTGAATGACTGTGCATTACACAAGCAGTTCTTTCAATAGAAGTAAACTTGAGACGAAATTTACAACGTCACACTGGGAGATACGCATCTTTCGAATAGAACCACCGATATGATGCGTCTATTCCTGGGCAACCAAAATTCGCCAATGAGTCGAAATCCAAAATTAAAGTGATCGGGCTCTTGAGATAAAGTTGCTTTTATTGACTGCATGGCTCTTTATAGCGTTTTCAAAACAATACGCCATTTACTTGGTTTCTCTTTCATCCGAGTGTACATACAGAGGGATTGATGAAAAGCGAACTGTTGACGATACTGGCACGACAGGAGTATCAGAGATCTTGAGCAAATATTTGGGCGGGACAAACACAGTGAACGTAGGAAAACGGCGACTCACCACTTTTATCCCTAGCTACTAAGTCTTTCCCCCTTCGAAGGTGGACTCTTAATTGGAAGAACGAGTATTGTCTGAGAACGGTTTCTTTTTTTCGTTGAGATTCACTGATGAGCTGAAACACGAAGAACATGAGCGTCTTAGAATGAAAAACTGAAAGAAAGTTCATAGTGTCAATTTAGAAGGGCGATATTTCACAAAATTAGACGTGTAAATTGTTGATTGAATAACACGGGGGAGGAATTTCACGAATAAGCAGTGGTTTCGCGATCGACCAGGCTAGCCAAATGGTCTCGATGAAATTGATCCCTTCAGCCGGTCGATATGACAATTTCAGATGGCAGCCCGGGAGGCAGTAAATGTGACCCCTTAAACCAACTTAAATGGATCTTCGTTCGGCAATGGAACTGTCGCTGGTTTTACATAGCTTGCTAAACTCGATCCAAATATGTGTCGCATTTCAATCTAAATTTCTATACTTTTCTATGTATCAGCGCGGTATTGAACGACCATTTTAAGATCAAGTAGATTGCATTTTGCATAAAGGAACCACTAGCATTGCAATGATGCTAAGATTGTGCAACGTCATCCTTTGCAATGCAATTGCTGAAATCGTGAAAAACTATGAAATTTAGATGGTAATTTTTGTCTTCAATTCACGTTTTAAGCGAGTAAAATAGAAACTATTAAGGGATAATCGGGTTTATCCTCCAAGACAAAAGAAGTTGCACAATCTTAGCAACATTGCAATGCTAGTGGTTCCTTTTTGCAAAATGCAATCCAAGTGTGGCTATCGTCAACGATTTTGAAAAAACATTCCAAATACCGCAAAGTTCTGAAAACACAGCTCTCGGGCTTGCTCTGGCTGGAAGACCAAAAGGAAATCTTATTAGTAAAAGCCCGGATTACTTCATTCTTGGTTCCTCAGTTCCTTGCTGTCACATTATTTCGAGTGTTATACTTTAATGCGCTTAAGAGATATCCAAATATCTGTTGCTATTCTGTAGTATTTGTTCTGAGCCCTTGTCTTTAGGAAACAGTCTTCACTCCATATAGTGTCTTTCTGTTTACCAAGTACGAAAACTTGTACTTGTTTCTCATCTCTTTTTTGCAAGTAATAACCTCGCCCGAGCATCGTGAAAAAATAAAATAAAATCAGATCAAGTCCGATCAGGGATACCACAAAATTCGAAGAAGGAAATTCCCTGTCATTAACCTGATTTCCCAAACACATTTGAATAAAATTCCCTGACAGCTGAAATAAATGCCAACTGGCAAAAAATACACGCATCGAAATAGGTTCTTGGAAAAATGTCTTGTTCAAAACGCCAAATCCATTCTAAGTGAAATGGAAGACTAATAAAAATGAAATATGTATAATAAAAAAAAAAAAAAAAAAANAAAAAAAAAAAAAAAAAAAAAAAAAAAAAAAAAAAAAAAAAAAAAAAAAACCACGCAACTGCGGCCCTCGTCCCACGATCAAATGATCTCATCAAATGCAAGATGGCGGAGATGCGTACTGGCTTTCGCGCAAGTCCGCTATCAAATGGTGATGATCAATCGAAAGAGACAAAATGGCGGCGAAGCATCTGTACGGTACGTGATTTGTAAGCATTGTGCAAACCTTAATTAATTGTGCAAACTGTAAATACCACGGAGTTGTCTTGTAAATAGAACTGTAATATAATGGAGCGATTACCCCTCGGTGTCACAGGGAATCAGCTTAATCGTTTCAGATTAGTTCATTCATCTGGAAAGCCGTACTTCGTGAGTACTACCGTTCATCTCACAAAATTAAGAGGTGGCACAAAGCTTCTTCTCATACCGCCTCCAAATGAGGTCTCTTCCACCATAGCCCTCCTCAAGTTAAAATCTGATGAATTAGTAACGCGTGCACTTGCGGCAATTTTTCCGTGACATTTTCCCGGGAATCTCCAACCGTGGCAACCCTGTCGAATACTCGACCCTTGTCTTTCAATTTTCGGCGATTTAGGTGATACGCCTGTGTCACGCTATCAAAATGTCAAGGTCAAGTGCTGTGATTGGTCCTAGTCATCGAGTAAGCCAATCGCAACACCTGACCTTGATATTTTTGAGGCTAGTTTTGATAGTGCGTAGTTTTGATAGAGAATGTCCATAGAGAAAAAAAAGGAGGTGTTAGCATCTTGATGTTTGTTTACCCTGTGACGTAGGTCGGTACAACCTGGCCAGCGAAATCCGGAATTCGAAGTATGAGAAACGGACCGTAATGTCCCATTTTGTTGCTAAAATCAACTCATGATATAATTTCAAGCACTTTTCATAGAATGACTCGTTTCCATAAATTACACAATTTCCGAGAAAATCGATGATAAACGTCGCTGTACCGACCTACGTCATCGAAAAAATTCCAAGATGCCCGAAATGCAAACACCTCCTTTTTTTCTCTATGGAGCGAGCCATTAAATTGGTACCTGACAATCCTCGTTCTGTTCCATATCTGCGACGACTTGGAGAATGAGACTGGACGCCGTTCGTAGAGCCGACGGAGTATCGCGCACATTTGAATCGTTCATGCGGCGCGACGGTGAATGATACTGCCTCGATTAATATGGACGAAAAGGTATGTCTACGGCAAACGGCGGAGCTCTACATAAATCGCGCGACGATTCGGGAGATAATTAAAAATTTACACCCGTGCGCTATTTCACAGAGCGGATTTTTCGAGAGCGAGAATTTGATGCTTCGGTTGAAAAAGTCCGAGACAAACGATGAGTTTCGCCGGCAAAAAAACTGTTGACGGTTCTCAATGTTACTGTCAAAGCGACACCGTCAAATGTATCGTTCATTTAAGCGCTTGAATCAATACTTGAAGTGATCGGGTCGTCGATTCTCAAGCGTAACAGCGTGTTTCAATTTTTAAGTGAGCCCTATCGTACATACGAAGCCACGCTTTCTAGGGCTCATGCAAAAGTCGAGATAGGTCCTCACGCCAGAGGACCGACGAGGTGTAGGTACTATACGTGTCGCATTACTCCAACGAGCCTACTTCCTGATTGATTCTCTTCACTAGGATATTCCCTCAAATATTACTCGTTTCGACGCAAAGGTATTAAGTTTTAGTCATGTGTAAATGACTATTGATTCTGATATATATGAGCAAGAAGGCCAATTTTCGGCTATCTAGATGATAAATGCTGTGTCCTGGAGTATTAAGCAGCAGCTCTGCGATGGGAAATTAACTATATCCTTCGACTCACTGCGGAATTTTCTACTTACATCTTCTTCAGGTATCAGTCTTTTAATTATTCCGAAAATGAATAATTTTCCGCGTAGGTTTCGTAAAGAAAAAATAGTTCAAACTGCACATAGACTGGTGCCCCACGTTGGCGAACTTCCATGAAAAATAAAATCTTGAAATTGCACGGGGAATATTTCATGAAATTTCAGAAATGTATCAAAGATACAGGAAAATACGGGTTCTTTATCGTATTTCGCATATAAAAATTGTGACTTTCTTCTGTTTATGTGTGTTTGAGTGCATACTCTAGCCCCTGAAAAATATGAAGGATTTCACAGCCTCGTGAAGTTTCATAAAATATTTCACCGAAATTGCCAATATTTCATTTCTTTCTTACGTTTCAAGCCACCTTGTCAGTTTAGCCGACAAGACTTGGTTGATCGCCCAAAACCGCACACGGTAAAAAAAGTAACGGACATTTTGTGTTCATGTGAGGAGTAAAACACAAAATGACCCAAACCTACGGTTGACTCACGAGTTACCAAGTCTCTCAACTGTTTCGGCGCTGAATTCACCACAGACGGTAGCAAAATCAACACAAAATTTTGGTAGGTTTGTGTTTCACTTCCTACATTAACCGAAAGTAACAAAAGAACACAAAATATTTTTCACAGTGTAGGTTGCAATCAGACATCGGGGGATGGTGATGGTGTCCTGCTGATCTACACGGAGAAAACAACTTAAGGCTGAGCACTAACACTTGGGGTAGGCTAGCGCCAACTACACGCAGTAGGACTGGACCTTAAAGCTTTAGGACTCATCACTACCGCCTGTATAGTTGCTGCTTTTTTCCCTTAAGTGGAAAGGCTCAGCTCTGAAATGTTTTTTTCCGTGTAATTTACGCTTTCTTTGGAATGGCTAGCGACCTGGACTAGGGCCTGTGTCACACAATCAAAACTAGTCATCAAAATATCCAGGTCAGGTGTTGTGATTAGCTTATTCGCTGACTTGGACCAATCACACACTGGAATAAAAAACTCATTGGATCTAGAGTCCAGACTCTTAAAAACATCGACAAGAAGTACTCTTGATTCAATCGGATTTTTGCTTAAATCAAGAACCAAGACTCTTCATTTGAGCGGATTTCCTTTTGATTTAAGCTTAAATCTGATTGAATCAAGAGTCCTTTTTCTATGTTTTCAAGAGTCTGGACTCTAGATCCAATGTGTTTTTTTTTTCCAGTGCAGCGATTGACCTTGACATTTTGATGGAGTATTTTGATAGTGTGACACAGGCTTGTAACCAATACCGATCCAGGTTCCATCCTAACCCTACGCGCCTGATTTTCGACGAAGTTTAAAATTTTCAGCCTGGTGATTTGGTCAACGTAACCCGAAAATTCAGTCAATGTAACCCCACGAAAAACAGAGGAGCCAATGAAGAACTAACCAAAACATGTAACCCGCACGTTTAGGTTACTTGGTGGTCTACTTCCCGAAATAACACAAAACGTCGGTCACTTTTCTTTGCTGTGCGGAAGATGCGTCAGAGGTGCTAACTCTCAGAACGGCACGACAGTGTATAAAATGTCTCGCGGGACTACTGACAACTATCCTGCCGGCTGTCCCGGGACGTTGGGTCCTTGAAAAATCGCCGTGTCCACGCCAGTAACAGGTCTGCTCGTTATATTGAGGACCCTGTTTCGAATGACGGACTCGGCTGAGAGTGGTCGCGAGTTGGAGAGCACGTGGAAAGCAGTGGCGTGCTTTGCGATATAGAGATTGATCTGTCGCACTTAAACCTATGGAGAAGGATCGATGAATAGGGTTTTGCGGTAGACACCCTCACAATCGATTCTTTATCATTGCGTCGAATGGGGAAAAATCGATGGATCG